GAACCCCGAAACCTCAAACCTTGAACCCAAATGCCCAAACCCCAAGCCCCCAACCCCGAACTCCTAAACCCCAAAGCCCCCAACCCTAAACTTCAACCCTAAAACTAGGAAAGAATTTCCAACTTCAAATTTCAATAAAGGGATTCAAATTAGTAGCATGGGCCAACTGCGCATGTGATCTATCTTTTGCATTTATGTATTATTAATAAAGTTAAATGACTTGAAAAATCATAGTTCAACCACTTATTTAAATCAATTAATAAAATTTAATGACTTAAAAAATCATAAATCAACTATAGATCAACTACTGTTCATACTTTTTAATTTATTTTCTTCACTTCTAAGTTAAATTATATTAAAATATTATTTTTTTATTTTTTAAAATTTATTTTTAACTTTAACATTTAAAAACAATCTAAAAACACATAAAAAATCATTTTCTTACAAAAAAATATTTTGTAATTACAAAAATAAATAGTAACTTAATCAAACTTAAATGATTTTTCATTGGAATTCCCAATCTATAAAGATAATCTTTATCACGTTATTAAGCTTCTCTTTTATATATATATATATATATATATTCTTAATCAGGTCTCCAATGCATGAATTGATTTTCATTTAGATCTTTTTATTAGTTTAAATTAACAAAACTATTAGCAATCACTCGAAATTCACTTAATTTTCTTCTTGATAAAAATCATGAATTGAATAAAAGCTAAAACAAACCAGCCTATAGTTTGTTATATAAGTTTCACGACATCTACTGTCGGTCGTTTCGAAGAATTTTCGCGCATTCCTCCCAAACTCACCTCTCTTTCTCTCACCGTCTCTCTTGCTCTCTGTTCAAACTTCTCTTCCTGTAACTTCAGGAGGCGGGGAGTGAACTTTTAGCTGCTGTTGGCTACATTTGTTTTTTATATATATATATATTTTGTGTGTTAGAGATGGGGTGGGGAAACATTTACAGGAGACGTGCGAATGTATTTACATTGGCCATGATAATTTACATCGATTATAAGGTATGGATCAGCCGTATTGAAAATCTGATTATGGGTTATTTATTTAGAGTGATGCTTATTTTTTTTTAGATTAACGTGGGTGTCCGGGTCAGTTTGCGCACACCACGACTAATCCCACGGGCCCTGAAGTTAACGACCATGTAATAAGCCTCCAGTGGCCATCATATGAGCAACCAAGGACTCGAACTTGAGACCACAGAGAGAGCAAACCCCTTGATCCCAAGTTCTTACCACTTGGTCACCATCTAGATGGTTTAGAGTGATGCTTATTGTTTATGCTGATTGTGGTGGTTGTCTTTTTTTATAATGAAGGCTTTACAGAAAAGAGAGAAATTCATGAAGAAACCGAAAAGTGATGCATTGTGGAAGAAGGCCCATGAGCGGAATGCTAAGCGTGTTTTTAATTTGATGGTAGAGTTGGAAGGTTTGTGGGTGAAACTTGGACAGTATTTGTCCTCACGTGCTGATGTGCTTCCTTCTGCTTTCATTTCAATTCTCAAGCAGTTGCAGGACTCTCTCCCTCCTCGTCCGTTTGAAGAGGTTTTGTTTTAGTCTTTTTCTAATAGATTTGGAAGTCTTCATGTGATTCAATGTGACTTTGTTGACCTGATGTTTCTGATTTTTTTTTTATCTCATAATGTTAGTTGTTTATTTTCAAGCCATGTTTCTCATTGTTTGGTTATGTTAAAATTTGTGTTTGCACAGGTTTGTCGCACTATAGAGAAAGAACTAGGGAAATCCACGAAGGAGCTTTTCTTGGATTTTGACGAAAATCCTCTGGCAACAGCATCGGTAAGATCCTTAGACTAGATGTTTGTGCTAGGAAGTTCGTGCGGATGCTCATTTAGGATTGAAATTTTGATTTTCTTGTTCTCACAAGGTGTGTACAATTTGGAATAATCTTGTTGTTCTCATGTTATATTCTATGCAGATTGCACAAGTCCATCATGCCACATTAATTGATCGGCAGAAGGTGGTTGTTAAAGTTCAATATGAAGACATCAAGAAAATCATATTGGAGGTTTGGAAACTCTTTAGAGTTTGGCTTTTGAGATGCTGCGTCAGAAAGCAAATGTTTCAGTCCTTATGGTTATTTTGCATGCCTTTTTTTTTTTTTTTTTGCAGGATTTAAAGGATGCAAAATCCATTGTTGACTGGATAGCATGGGCAGAACCGCAGTATAACTTCAGCCCTATGATCGATGAATGGTGCAAAGAAGCGCCACAACAACTCGACTTCAACCATGAAGCAGGTAAACTTCAACCACAAAATTGCTATTTTCTTTTCTTTTACAACCAGTAGATAATAAATGTGAGTTCTGGCTGGTCTGGATGAGGTTATTGGGATTTGGGATTCATATCAGGAGCTTGAAATAACGATAATGGAATCCAATCATTGGGACAGTTAAATCTGATCATGTTTAGAATCCATACCAAGTGCAGCATCTTAATTTTTTATTGAATCAATGAAGTGAATGGGATGATAGCTGTGTGGTGTCAGCAGTGAGGATAATTGATGGTGGTGGAGGCAAGGTTGGCAGTTGTGATGATCGTATTTGGATTTTAGTGGAGGCAACAGCTTCGCTTGATGGATATGGTGCTATGAGGCTGGTGGCAGCAGCAATGATCATGGCAATGTGAGGGTAACTTTAATGACAGTGGTCAAGGCAGTGTGGTACTCTTTTGGTAGCAGTGCAATGGCAGTGGCATGGTTGTAGTGGCGATTTGATGGCAACTCATGTGAAGACTTTGGCATGGTGCTGTTAGTGCTAATGGAAGCATTAGCATTGGCGCTATGTTGCAGTGGTGAGCTTGGATGTTGTAGAGATGAAAGTGATGGTTGGCAACTGTGTATTCAGCCATTTTCTAGCATGTTCATGAAAGTGAAACTCCAACTCACTATACTGAATTCAGTGTAGGACATTCCCAATATATTTATTAACACTGTGCAGAGACAATGCAAGGAATTTTAAATTCTTTAATCTCTTCCTCCATTTATATTCTCTTACTGTTTTTCTTATCAAGTACGTCATTGTGTTTCTCCACTGTTCAGTGTACCTTTCTCTCTTACTGATGCTGGTCTATTGTATTTGTAGAGAATACCAGAACCGTGTCTCAAAATCTTGGCTGCACAAGCAAATATGATAGCAACAAGCCCATCAATCAAGTGGATGTTTTCATTCCAGAGGTTATTCAGGTATCATTTTGCTCTCATGTTTTGATATAACAAAGTTGCTTGCTCGAGTGCAGGTGCAAAAGGATGAAATCCTAAAAAGATATCTTGTGGTAGGAATTTTATTAACATTTCTCACTGTCTGGAACAAATATTAAAGGACTCATTGCAGGCATCTTCATTGACATTTCTGAGCCCTGACAGTTAACTACCATTCTTACAAAAAGAATCATGTGGGAGAAAAATGAACATTTTTATGTCGTTCTGAAGCCTGGGCAGAGTGGAGTGGAGGAAAATGAATTATTTAGTTATGACACCATCGTGAATGTCTAAACCATATACCTGACTAAAACACATGCACTTACCTATAATTACTAGATGCTAGTCTCTTCACATGTTTTAACCTAATATGGATGGTTTCTATAAATATTTTCAGTCACTGGATCTTAAACAATGAGTTCCTTCTAACCTTTTAACTGCTTGGTGCCTTTTTTGCTATTCTTATGTTGATAATGATCCTTAATCTTTTCACTCTTCTCACTGTGCATCATATTCCTCTCATTGCAGTCAACAGAAAAAGTTCTAATTTTGAAATATATGGATGGAATTCGGTTGAATGACTTAGAATCCCTAGAAGCTTGTGGTGCTAACAACCAAAAAATTGTTGAACAAAATAAACTATATTTGAAATTGAATTTATGATGTTCGTTATAATTGCTAATGAACCAAAATCCGAAAGGATAATAATGAGAATGTAAAAGTTAAAAAACAATGGTAAAAGAGAAATGAATGTTGTCGATTACTGTTATTATGTTGTGAAATGTGATTGAGTATTGAATAATGATGGGTACTTATGGATTTAGGAGGAACCGTAGAAGGAGTACAATAACAACAAGGGAGTGCGAGCCAAGCTTCTATAGCAAGTAGGTATTCCACATTTATACCCTTCATAAATAATAGTGTTTTTGGTAATCTATTTTATTTTGGATTTCGCACTTGTGGATGAAGCCAAAGGAAGAAAAAATATGATGACATGAACAAGAAATGAAATCTGATTTTGTTTATGGAATTATAGATTTCGATAATGAACTTAAAAATAATTGGTTTTGGATTTGATTAGTCAGTCCTGAACATGGACGACTAATGATGTTGGCAAGATTTGCTAACATCGACATGACCATGATGGAAAGTTGAAGAATATTGAACTTGATTAACTATTCGGGTTAAAAATAGCTAATAATATTTGTCATAACCATTTATAGGTTATTCCCCAAAATTACATATTTTTTTCTTTCTAAAAAAACAAAAATAAAATAAAAGTTGATAATGTGAAGAAAGCAGAACGAGGTGGATTTCAAAAAATACATAAAAAGAAGCTACAATTTTGAAGAAAATTATAGATCAAATTGTAACCCACTATACCCAAGATGAAAGAAACAATACACATTCAAGGTCAAATTAAATGATTATTAGACGAATCAACATAAGAAATTAAGTCCAATGACATAATAAAAATTTTAATATGTCAATTTAATTTAATCATGGGCAAAATTAAAATTTTAATCATGTTTAAGAATTAATTTGAGTCCAATTAAAGGATTTAATTAGGTGCGAAAACTTAATTATACTTTAAATGGGTAAAATTAATTTTATTAGGGGTTTAATTAGTGAAATATTATGTTTGGAAGCCTAATTTGGGCTTCATTAAGAAGAATAGAATTTTAAGAAACCAAATTTAATTATTACCAAGTCAATTGATTGAAATCAAGGGCAAAATCGCAAGAAAATTAATGTTTTGATATCAATTAGGGGTCAAATTGAAACATGTTATATCCAAGGACCAATCTATAAAAGACACCAAATTATAGGGGCTTAATTGATTGAAATCGAGGTGAAATTGAAGGAATTAGAAGTTTGATTGTCAATTAGGGGCAACATTATAAAAATGCAAAACCAAGGATCAAATTGAAAAATACGCTCAAATTGGGAGCTCATATTGTAATTTGGTTGGGGCTTAATTGCACTAAATCAAAAGTTTAGGGTCAATTAGGGATGCAATTAAAAGTTGGAGAACTAAATTAAACTTCGGCTAAAACCATAAATTAAACTCCAAAACGGTGTCGTTTTGAACAAAAAAAAAATAGACAACGCATTGTCTGGTTACTATTCATTATCTTTTTCTTTTTTTACCTGAAAAGTTGCTTAGATTACCTACTTTACAGGTGCATTTAACGCCTCTAGCCTTCATCAAATTTGACAAAACTTGCACGCAAATGATCATTTGGCATCCCTTTTCAACCCAATAGGGTCCATTTAGGCCGATTGCGCCATAGAAGCCACAACATCCAAAAAATGGCTAACTTAAACAGCCTTGAACTATAAGATTTGACAGTTTATAGTGTCTACTTTGAACCAATAGTTAGGATTCACTTTCTCACCTACAAAGTTGTTTCTTCTTCTTTCTTTCTTTGCCACTAGTAGCCAACACCCTTAATAAAGCCACCGTTCTCAGCCAAACCCCTAAGCCAGGTGAGCTCCCCTTCCCCTTCTTCTTTTTATTCTTGTCCTTTATTCATTACATGAATAGTGGGCATGAATTATATTTCACGGTCACTTTTCATATAGTGAACTTTGGGTCGGGTTAGTTTTGGCCCAACCTAAATGGTTGGATCGAGCCTAGCCCAGAACAAAAAAAAAAAGTAAAGATTTGAGATCGGCCCAACCATTTTTGATCAAGAACAACCCACCCACACATTATAATATTATTATATTTTAAAAAATAAAAATTCAAAAATCTTCTAAAAAATACTATGATTTTCTCACATGTATTTCTACTAATTTTACATAATATCGGGTTGTATATATACACTATAAGATATAGACTCGGTATTAAAATACCTAATTTTTTCCAAAAAAAAATTCAAAACTTTTAAATTAATTTTCCTTTAAAAAAACAAACAAAAAAATATTAATGTTTCTTTGCATATAGTTAAATCCAAAAACTTTTCCAAGCATATCTTCATAAAAAAAAATTGCATCTCTCTCTTCTTTTAAAATGCAAAATGGATATCGTAACTATTTTATAATTATCTTTTAGGATTTGATCAAAATATCAAAAATCCTTTTTCAATTTTTTTAGGGTTTAAATATACTTTAATAATATGTGGGTGTAAAACTACACAATAGAAAACACCCTCAAGTATTAAAAATACAAAGTGGAAAACAAAATGCAATGCTAAAATTTTGATTTTAGAACAATTAGGATTAGACCTAATGAGGTAATGATTATCTCATGAAGGGAGATCTGCCTTAGACTTTAGTAAAGACCAACAAATAGAAATCCGACCTAGAAAAACAATCAAACAACAATGTAACTTATCTTAGGTAAAATGCATTGGGAGTTATGCATTTTTTCTATGCACAATCAGCCCCTTACTTTGACTCTTACAGACCATATGTTCATACTAATCATAATATTAGGTGGTAACTCCTGAACCTTAACCAGAACTTTATGATTAAACTCAAAACCCTTTTCTTTCCAACAACATACCTCATCAGGAGGCACAAAAAGCTCGTTGTTGCCCCGATGTCGCACACCTATGATAATATCGACAGATGATGTTAATATTAGCAAACTCATGAAAACTTGATTAGCTTTTCTAATAAGAAAGTTAATGATGTCAAGAATCCTTGACATCGGTATTTCCGAGAATATTTCCAAGGTATTATGGAAAATTGATTAACTATTTCGAGTAGGAAATAGTTAATGGTATCTACCAGTTAAGTTGATGCCAGCATTACCAAACATTTGTATGAATTAGGAACATATTTTGTCCCTAATGTATTTTTTCTTTAAGTAACCATATAACTAGAAATGTAATAGTATCCTTTTTGTATTAAATGTTGGTTGTAAGATTATACTATTTTGTGTTTGAAATCTTAACGTTGCATATTTCTGTTTGCTTATGAATTTGTTGCATGTTTAAATGTGAAAGAAAATGAGTTGGTGAGATTGTGATATAATTGAGAGAGGAGTATGAGATGTGTGCAGGATGATTGTCGATAACTTGGGACTTTTTAATATAGGAGAGGTTTTACCAAAATTTATCAGGAATTTCAGAGATTCCTATATAAGTTCGGCAAAAAATAAATTTCCCATGATTTCCTTTTATAGGAATGATATATTGTTTTCACTAATGGGAGTGTTACACATTTTTCAGTTTAAATTTGCTTCTCTCTTTAGTCTGGTGTAACTTCTATGATAATTTGGCGATGGGCTGAGAAAAAAGACTTGTGGGGGCACTGGGTCTACTGTTATCATAAAGGAGGATATTACTATATGAGAGGGATTTTGGGTATGTATGAGAATGGGTTTTTGGCTGGGTGTTGGTCTGAGGTGTTGTTGGTTCTAGTCGCTAGTGGTTGCTGGATCTTCAATGAGGATACTAGTGCTTCAGTGAAAATAAGGGAGAATGGATGGTGATGGAGAAAGTTCGTGTGGGAGCTGGTATGGTTTGGTTTGGTTTCTTAGATTGTGCAATTGAAGAAGCAGCGTCAACTAGAACAGCTGTTAGAAGAGATATAGTGTTTTGGGTGAGTGAATGAGTGTTGTGTATGTGGTGATATTTTTTGTTTGAAGGAACGTGGGAATGGTTTTGGCTTTTTTTCTTTTGCCACTCTAACTGACTTTCCTTTGCTTGAATGATAAAATTAAAAAACAAAATTAAAAAAAATAAAAGACTAACTATAGTCAACTTGGATTAACTTGTCGAACTCATAATTTATCAATTTGAAATAAATTATAAATCTTAATTCCCAACCAACTCAATATTAAAATATAAAATTAAAAACAAATTGATTAAAAAGA